CGACGGGGAACCCTTGCGATCTCCTCATCGAGAACGAAAACGAGGACCTTTCTCAGCTGATCGCCGCGCAGCAGAAGAAGGTCGCTGCAAGTAAAACTCCCGGGGCTGCCGCAGCTCCGGCTGCGGCGAAACTCCCGTCGAAGCCTCTTCCGCCCGCGCAGGCCGGTGAGTTTTGTAACCCGCTGGATTTTATAGAAATTATGCTTATGAATCTATCTTTTTTATGTGCTGTTTTCGGGTGTCTAGTTAGGGAATCGAGGAACAATACGTTGAATGTGCGCGAGGGAGCAGGTCGAGGTGGGACTGGGCGTGGTAGGGGTGGTCGTGGAGCTGGGATCGGTCTTAGTAGAGATATTGGAAATGCGAACAACAATAGATATGGAAGTGGTGGCGGCGGTTATCGTGGCGGCGCTGCTCCTGAAGAGGGTGATACTGGGAGATCATCAGAAAGGGAACGAGGGAGCTATGACCAGCCCCGTGGAGCCTTCCGTGGAGGCAGACGTGGTGGGTTTGTGGATGGGAATGCAGAAGGTGGATCGGATTCGGATCGTACCCAACGAAGAGTTTATGAGCGAAGAAGTGGGACTGGGCGTGGAGTTGAAATGAAAAGAGAAGGTGCAGGGCGTGGAAACTGGGGTGCAGTGACTGATGCACAGTTAAGATGACTCCTTTATTGATTTGAAGATTGAGCATGTTTTTATTCTGCTAAGTTTTCGTGGCTTTTGTGATATATGATTGGTAGGGTGATTGAGGAAAGTCTGAACTTTGATGAAAAGCCTGTTACGCTCCGGAGAAGCCTGTCAACCATGAAGATGGACAACGAGATGCAAGCAAGACTCCGGAGAAGCCTGTCGTCAACCATGAAGATGGACAACGAGATGCAAGCAAGGATAAGGAGGAAGCAACGCGTGAAACAGAAGAAAAGGAACCAGCAGACAATGTTTGTTCTCTTATGCCATTTATTTTCATTATATTTTCATGTTTAGTGAATGCTTTTTATCAATCTCCAATGCTGGTGAAAATATAGCATAAAAGAAGAAAAAGTACTGGTAGAGGTTCATGATTAGTATTCTTTAATCCAATGAAAACTTCTCGAGTGCTTTGAAAATATTGGTGTTTGAAACAACAACTTTTTTTAGGCGATGGGGTAGCACACCTAGGATTGATAGAATTATTAATAACATTGAATTTAAGGTCAGGAGCTTTGTAGTCTACAGAAGGACATTATAAGTTGAAGTAGTTTATTCAGATGTTAGGGCTTTTAACCTTTCAATTTTATCAAAGGTGTAGAGTTCTTTACTCTACATTTAAAAAAGGGAAGCCCCAATTTAGGAGGTTAGGACTTCTAATCATAAAGTAAGGGTCTGTTTGGGGCAGCTGTAGCTGTTTGAAGAAGCAACTGTTTAAAAAACTGTGATGACTGTTATAAAAAAATCTTTTATGAAAAAGTCAGACGGTAACTTTTTAGCAGCCACCCAGATAGCCAGCAACAGTGGAAAAATGTTTCTTTTAGCTGCAATTTCTCGAAAACCAGACAAAACATAATTTTACCAAACAAAAAAACTGCGGTGCGTTACCGCATCACAACCCCAATACGCACTCTAAGACTTCCATGTTGATTAAAGTAACTTAAGAGGTTGACCGCGCCTTCTCTCTGCATTTTGTAATGCATTGTATTGGTTTTTTTTTTTTTTGCCAATTTTAAATAAATCATATATAACTTTAATTAGTTTTTCAAAGTGGTGATTTGGTTTCGAGTACTACTAGACTTTTTTTAATTAGTCACTTGAATAGAATACTTTTTGCCAAGAGATTTAATCCTGTAAATAATAACTATATTGCTTCTTATGTGGTTTTTGTGATGATGAATTTTGAACCGATTAATCTCTAATAGCTATTTATAAACACTTAACTATTGTTTGGCTACATCCACTTAAACCTAACTGGAATTTGAAAGCATTTTATTTTTCAAGATGTCCTTGAGATAGAATGCGATTAATAAAATGAAGGTGTTGTGGTTGTATTTTAAATTATAAGACTACCTGAATATCTTCCGGTATGAGTTGGCAGTAAATCGCCAATTTTTGGTATTATAGGGTTAAGGCTTCATGACTTATTTTATTTCAATCTTGAGGAAGACAATTTAAAGTTAAAGCCAAAATTGAATCCTTTTGTGCAATCCAATATTTACTACATTTATATACTCTATTTGCATGTGATATCTCATAACTTCATTCTAAATTTTAATTTCAAAGCATTGAACTTAATATTTTTGATGTTTTAATGAAAAAAATTGATTTGTAAAATTCATGTGTGTTATTTAGAGCACGTTTGTTTTAGATTTTCAGCCTGTTTTCTAAATTGTTCTGTTGAACACGAGTTTGTTTCGTGCTTTCTTCAATTGCTGTTTAAAACCACCACGTAACCGCGGTGGCAATTACACTACAACACCACCCCAGAATCAATCCCGCGTTTAGACATTTTGCCTGTGGGGATACCCTTCAGCGGTGCCTTAAAGGCGTTTAACAAATAATAATTGTTTTTTAAACAGATTAATCACGGGTCGTGTTATTGTAATTAGACACTATACTAATTGTTCTAGGCATTTAAAAATTGGATATAATAATGATATTAATGGAAACAATAATTGTGCTTTACGGGTCACAATGCTATTAGGGAAAATTCCTTTATGGAATCTTTTTTCATAATTTTATGTACCGTGTTATTTTAATAATAATGATATTAATGGAATAATAATTTATAGAGCGGGTGATATGGTTGTAAGAGAATGAATTAATGGAATTATAAATTCTTTTTGTTTTTGATGGGTGATATGATAATCATAATTATGTTTGTTAAGAAAATGATATTAATGGAAATGATAATTTATAGAGTTTTAAATTTTATAAAGAACCATGTTGCAAAAAAAAAAAGACTAAGAAGAATTGCTTGTACTAAAATGCCTATTTTATCAATACAGGCTTTTTAAGGACTACTTTTTCAGTCCTTAGTCCACAGACAACACTTTCATAATTATGTTTTTCAAACATACCAACTACTTCTGAAACACCAGCTTCTGATTAGCAGATTTTCAATAGCAGCTTTGGAACTGATATTTCATACAACTAAAGCCGAAACAAATACACCCTTAGTTAAGTGAAATGTTTATTATTGATTGAAAAAAAAATAATTAGAAATTTTGAAATTGAATTTTTTATATATGGACATATTATTGATTATCTTGTACTCTTGTTTGCAATTTCAATGTAATTGTGGAAACTTACTTATTTTTATTTCTTATATAACCAACAGAGATTGTAGAATGTATATCTTTCTCTATAAAGTGTATTCATTGTTCTTAGAATTCATTGATATTTCAAGAAGAAGTTTACTATTTGGTGCTGGTAGGTGAAAGATGGCTGCATCTCTTGTAATATTTGGGTTGCATCTATTTCAAAAAAGTATTGTGTATGTTGATGTTCTTGAGATTCTAAACTTCTAAGCCAATTTTTTAAAATGTATAACTAATTTTTGAAAGCCTTTAGCCATATAAAATCATGAAACCTCTGAGTTTTTTGTCATTTGTTATTAAAAATTTCCCTCCAAAGCTACAATTTTTGTAATAATTTTAAGGACCATTAAAACCTATCTTTTGAAACTACTCCTGAATTCTTAAAAATTTATGTGAATGCAATCTTAACTATACCATTCAGGCATATTTGACTAAAATAAGAGGTCTAATATGGCTTACCAAAAGACATATCATGGTTATGATACATAAAGTAAAGTTTTTTTATCCATAGTTAGGCATATGAAGCAGTTGATTCTCTCCGGCTAATTAATTTTTGTAATGTGCTCTATTTATATTTGCAAATTTTTCTTGAATTTGTAGCTTCATGTTTTTTTTTAACATGTGCTGAATTTTTAATATTTGGAAGCTATCATATCGGGGAGGGACAAGAGTCTTTCATTGCTACAAAGATGGATTGTTGAAACATAAGACATGTTATTTGGATACTTCTAGTCAACTCTGAAGCATTTTTTATTTGATATGAATATAATAGTTGAAGCATATTTTTCTAAACAGAGGATAGATTTTGGGAGTGTGTGATTTGAACTATTAATTGGCCCATGCAAATTTATGATTTTATCCGCCACATCGGAATTCACGGCCCGTCTCAGCATCCAACCATCACATCACGTTAGTCCCTTTATATAGCATGGGATAATAGGATAGGCTGGTTCACATACCACTTAGTGATGTTATATACATTCGGCTTACATATAAATGCACGTAATATTATACACATATGCATGCCCGTCTATAATAATTCAGAAGTGCGAGTATTTTTGAAATAATAAAATAAGTATATGCGCACCATATGCATGTTATTATTGTTATCACATGAATCCATCTAATTGGCTCTATCTGATAGGAAATGGTTTAGTTAATTCTTTTGGAGGATAATCTTGCTTTTTTTTAATCTGGATTGCAGAATTCAGCATTCCAGAGCGCTTCTTTATTGTCTTTTAGAAGTACAGAAGTAGCAGACTGATGATTTCTTCTCTGATTAGATATTGGGTGCAGGCCATATCTATATTTACCTTCTTTGCAGCCTAAGGACAGCAACCAAAAACCTCTTGGATTCAATGACAACTGGCCAGGCAGAGATGCTGAAAAGCAGCATTTTTTGTTTTTCTGACTCCAGGAGGATTCATCAAGGCTTCAGGCAGGAGACCTGCCGAATTTAGGTTTGGTGATTTTGGCTACCAGGAGAACTATACAACTGTTAGAAGAGGTGAAGATGAAGGAGATCTGTAGGATGTAATTTGAATTTTATTGCTAAAAGTTTACTTTTTCATAGCACTTAGAGCATGGGTAAGTCTTTATCAATTCTAAACAAACTTCAACAGAGAGGGAACTTTTTACTAGGTCATTTCAGTTTAAAAGATAATTAAAATAAAATTTATCCTAATTTATAATTTAAACTTAAAAAATTCAATTATACCCAAAATTAGTTAAAAATTCGGAAGTTGTTTTTATGGTGCTATCATGTGGATTTTGAATTAATGATCTGGACATATGTGCATTTTGGTTTTGATCACCAAGCCTCTGATGGATGATACATTTTGAAGGACTTTTAAGCAATACTTCTTGTCTCAATAGTGCACTATATGATATTCATCTTTGGATGTTTCCATTAAGATTTTTGTCAACACGAAAAAGTAATAGGCTTTAGGAACGATGCCAAATGATGGCCCAAAATCAAATGACTTGATGTTTTGATCCATTCATGATTTGATGCAAAATTGTGAGGGAAGTCTCTCATAGACTTATTTGGAGTGGATGGTTGTATTAGGCATCCCTTTAATTATCTAATGTCGAGATCATGGGCCCCCTTTAGAAAGATTTCCTTCTAGATAAATCACAATTTTGGTGGCGTAAGTTTGATATTACAGTCACATAATTGTAGCAGTTTGTTGTGTTTGGCAATTGATCTTTTGGTAGTTTTAGAGAAAATTATAGACTTCCTGAAGAACTTAAATTTTAGAGCCTCCTAGATGATGGATTTAAGTTAGCATTTCTTTTTTAGGAGCTATCAAGATTTTTGCTCTTTTGTTCTTATGTGCTTCGGCAAATGTGGAAAATAATAAATCGGATGTACTTATTGATTTGACTTCGTACTATAATTATATATCCTATTTTGAGCTTGCCGAAGTTGATAATATACTACTTTTTATGTGTTGCTTGAGTTGGCAAGAGGGTGACCTTTTAAGCTACTGTAAAATGTTGTAACTCTTGCTTCCATTGGTTTTTTGTAAGATATGTTTTTCTTCCTTCTAGATCCTTTGGGTAGCTTAAGATATATCATTTTGCTATCACACATGGCCTTATCCTCTCTTTAATTGCCTTCATTTTGATAGAGTCAATCTTAATTATTGATCCTATTTACATTGGTGGATTTGGCGAGGACGTGTAAAAGAGATTATATATGTTTTGCTTGGTGGACCTATTTGAGGATAGTTTTTATACCTTGTTGAAGAGTGATACATGCATATCCGCCAGTTTCTATGTGTCACTTTCCTTGCTTTTAAGACAGGGAGAGTATGGTTTTTCTTTTCTTCTTCGGTAGGGAAGGCCTAACATTGCTAGAATTTTTGTTGTGCAATGTAAGTCAACTTTCATATGCTATTATTACCATGTTTATAATTGGCGCACTAGTTTTTTTTCCCAGCAAAAAAGATCTTTCCTTTGTGAGCTGAAATTGATAAGGTCGTTGATTTAGTAACTGATGAAGTTATGAGTTATTGAGGATGAATTGGCAAACGTTAAGTAGAATAGTGTCACATACCATCTCTAGCTATCATCTTTGGTGATTGGAAAATTCCAAGTGACATTGGTTGTCAAGCTTAATATGGGGTAATATTTTAATCCTACAAAATAGATAGGGATCGGGATGGGGGGTATGTTATTTGGGTCTTTGGTATGATGCGTAGTGAGATAGATCACATTGTTTTCTATTGGCACATTTCTCATGATCCGGGTGTTTTTTTTGCTGTTTGTGGATATATAATTATTATAGTAAAATGATCGTGGAGTTATTTTTTAGTTAAAATGACACCTCTTTTGATCTTTTAAGTCTAACTTAAGTTTTTATGGGCATTAAGGTGGCTCAGTTGAATTTTGGTGTTGTTATTTTCAAACAATGCGTTAAATATGTTGGAGAACACTATGCTAGCAGGTTGGACTGTAGACCTATTAAGACTTCAATAAATTTTAATGCTACAATAGGTAGATGTTAAAGCTTTGCTGGTAAACTAAACTATCTGTTGTACAAATAAAAGTTTTGTTTCAAGTTTAGTTAATTATTTTTCCATATGATGGTCATTAAGATTCTTTTATTCACCTCATTAGACATTTGTAAGGGGAATTGAGTCAAGACTTGTTATATGAAGAGAGAGAAAATTGTTAGGTGATTGACTTTATTGACGTAAATTGAGTATGGCCTCCCTATGATGGGCGTTTTAGCATATCCTGCTGTGATCATTGGGTGTGTTTTGTTTACTTGGAAGCATAGAACATGATGATGTTACTAAATCAATTGTGAGGCTCATATCGAATCGGGGCATTGACTGCACACGAGCTATTATGATTGAATCAATTTTTGTGAGCCTTAAAATTTGGAGAAAGAAGACAAATGAAATTGCTATTGTTGGCGTATAATGTATTAAATAGGTCTTTATTAAAATCTTTTTTTTAGAAGTGCAAAGCAAAAAGTAGTATTTTTATTTTAAGGAATTGTTTGGTTGGATGAGAACCAAATAGAGAGATTTTTTTTTTTTTTTGATTTATTATTGGATGCTTTCAAAACACAATGAAAAGAATTTCTCTCTTCTCTTTGCCTCCTTGTTTCTTTCTTTCTCTTTTATATAATATGGAGATATGAGGTGATGTGATTTAGGTTGTGATGGCAAGTCGAAGAACATGGTGATATCAGGATTGAACTTGTGGGTTAGAGGCAGTGTCACGGGTATGGGCATAGGTCCGGTTTGCAAACAACTATGACAATGGATGGATGGGGGTCAACATGGCAAAGGAATAGGCCATAGGTCATCTTATGCAAGGATGGGTTGAAAGGTGGTAGGTTTGCATTTGGAATTTTTTTATTTATTTTAGGTGTATTTAAAATTCATTACAAATGAGGCTGGTGCACATATTCTGAATTTCTTAAAAATACTTTGCATATAGTTAATTTCATACCAAACACTTGGATAGTGAATAACTCACATATTTCTCTGCAAAGTGTATGCTTGCAACCAAACGATCTTTAGGTGTATTTCTAGTATTAGAAAGTTTTGCTTTGTGGAGAGTTGACTTTAGATCGTCATGATTGAATGAATGAATTTTTTTTTATTGCTAAATTTATCTCTGGCTTGTATACTTCTCTACAAGGTGCATATTTTTACTTTATGCCGTCTTTTGTTGTCCTTGACTGTTCTCTTCCATGCTCTCTGCATCATGGCCATCTTCTTTCGCCTCTCACTGATAACTGATTTTATTCAGCCTTTGGCGCCAAAGGTGGCTAGGGAATTGTAGTTGTGGTTGTCATTCTAGCGTCGAAAAATGGTCTTTGTCAAATTCTCGTCTGTCTTCCTTCAATGCAACCACACCAACCATCTTTCTGAACTTTAGTGGGAGAAATATGGCTCTCTCCATTGCATATCATACTTTTACAACCATTTCAACCCTAACTACTTTTAGTGTCTCATCTATCAGTTGCTTTCTAGAAGACTATGATCGATTGTTTCAATACTCTTAACAATCTCTTAGCATCTTATGACATTTGTTCTTGTGTTTATTGCAATTCTCTCTCTCAGTGCATATTTCACATTTTGGTTCCTCTTCTCATATAATGGTTGATCAAAATCATATTTTCTCCACATCTCTACATTACTCTGATTTTGGATAATGGGTCTCTCTATCTCTCTCTTCTAGAAAAGGTGCTGTGAATCCTTTGAATTTCTTTTTTCTTTTAAATGTTTTATATGTTCGGCAAGAGCTTTGGAAACACTTTTTAAAAGTATCTGATGTTCTTTCAAATATATTAGACACTTTATGTGGTGGAAATATATACCCATGGTTATTTTTATGTAGGATCCCTTTTGAGAGGCTATAGTTTTTTGTAATAGTAGTTTTCAAGATATCCATAAAGAGCCTTGGAAACAGTGTTTAGCATACATGCACTTTCATACATACTAGCAGTTTAAAGGGTGGAAATGTATATCCATGGCCAGTTTAATTTAGGGTTTGTTTGGGATGGCTATAGTTTCTTGTACAAGTGTTTGTAAATTTTTTGTGAGCGGAGCGATTTTTTTAAAAGCTGTGTCGGGGAATGGTATTTTTTATAAAAACTGTTGTGGATACTTCAATTCTATTATTAAACAAATTAGATAACAATTTTTATACAATTACCAATCTAGCAAATTTGATTATAAAGATTAGCTTTCCACCATAGAAATTTTTGAAAGATAGCAAGAAATTATAGCTAAAGCTGAAACGTTCCAATGTTCTGAAAAGCAAAGCTCTGGGAAAGCTAACCCAAGCAGACCTTATTACTAAAGTATTTATTTAAAGGCCTATAATGTGCCATGGCCATCAGACATTTATGTTAAAATAAGACAGTCATCCAACATTTTGTTTTAGCTTTATTTAAATGAATGTAACATTAATTGCTCAAAAGCTTTGTTTTTTGGAGTTTGATTTTGTATTTACCTTGGACTTCAGTTTTTTTTCATAAAATGCATGAAGTTATTTTAGTTGACGGACAGCATTACTTCACCATAGAAACAAGGTTTTTCTATAGGATTTTAGCGAAATTATTGCAAATATTCTGCCAGTTAGCTTTTCCTGCCTTTATGATATTTTATTATTACAATAGCAATGTTTGTCACTTCTTTCAAACCTCTTAGAAGTAGTAATATTTAACCTCATTTTGAAGAAACTATATCATTAAACCTGTACCACATTATCCACTGTTGAAATTATTATTATTATGTTATGAGATATTGATGGCCCTTTTAAAAGGGCCATGCACTTTTTTGTATGCAAGTAAACAGGTTCACCCGGCCTATATAAAATTTTGCAGTGACAACATTGATATGTGAACATCTATTTTTGTGAATGTTGCAAAACGCGTATCATTTTAAAGGAGTGCACCATATGTAAAACATTGCACTACGATACTGTTCCATAGAATTTTTGGCTAAAATATTTCACTTCCTCTGTCAACTACTTTCCTCTTTTTAGCAGCCTATTT